CAATATCATAATTTTTCCTTCTGCGCTTTCGGAGCATCCTGATGTGAAAGACGAAATTCGATGTGGCGTTCCTTTGACAGTGGATTGAACCAGGCGAAAGCGTGCCACGCACCAGACACAACGGTGGCAGCCGCTTCCTTTTGCTCGCTTTTGAAGATAGACGAGTCCCCTAACTGAGCGTATGTCACCGTAAATGGAGTGTAATTTTCAATGCGGTATGGCGGCGCGCACGACACATCCGTCAGAATAACATGCACGTACATATCCACCACTTGCACACTGGCCTGACAGATCAAATAATGCTGACGCACAGATGAGTAGACTTGTAGATACACGTCTTCAGCCGTGTTAATCGGAATCGCAAATGACCAATTCTTCTTGTCGGCGTCGTTGCTCCATTCTTTCGAAAATGTGATCGAAACATGGCGCTCGCTCTGTTCTGCAGACTCGTGCTTCTTCAACGCCTCGAAGTGGTACAATGGTGTAGTTTGACCGTCCTCCAGTGTCATGTGTAGCTGCTTCACGACATCAACACTTCTCTTGTGGAACAATTCGTTCACTTTTTGAGGGTCAGTATCGTGCGAGGCAAAGCTCTGCATGTACAACTTCTGGCTCAGACAGTTTTGGACAAAATATCGGGGGCTTAACGTTAGCGAAACGCCGGGCTCGAAAAGACCGTATAAACCTTCCATTTTCACGCCGAAAACGCTCGGGCCGCACACGATCTCGCCCATGGTGTTGATCGCGGTCGTGTTCATTGGTTTTGACCATCGCGCACTCTCGACTGCGTGCTCCGATATCACAGATGTTTTATACGCGGTCTCCGGCATACTACCAAATTCAACCCATGCCTTGGGCCGGCGGTTTAGGTTCCCGACCGGTTTCATACTCAGACGATCATGAGGTAATGATGTCATGATAGGGTATCTGAACGATGCACAAACGTCCATGGACTTGAGCGATGTGTGCTTCGCGCCAGGCTCAGTCGACGCGTAGTCGAACGCAAGTGACGAGTTATTTACAATCCAACACGGGCTCGAAAATCGCACGAGTCGAGGGTAGCCAGGAAGAGTTATTCGATCGATATTGAATTTGACACCGACGTCGACTTCGACACTTTCTCGTGACGTCGTAAACTGCTCGACTTCTTTGTGAATCATCATTAAAAGCGGTTTTGACCACGGTGACACCACCTGCTTGTCTGTACTACGCTGCTTGGCCACGAGCCGAATCGACAGGTACCCAGGATGCCCTCCGCTAACTCTAGACACCTCCATGTCGTGGCCTGAATCCACCACGCCGCTCAGCACTCCAGTAGACGGTTCGACTGCACCCTCGCGACGCAGGAGATTATCCATTTTCGCGAATTCGGTCTTCATGTCTCTCAATGAACTCGAATTGTACTCGATAAACCGAAATTCCATCTCATAAGAAAGCGAGTTACGAACAACAAATGGAGGAAGCAGCGCGATTTCCCATTCGAAATGCGAACGCAGGTACCAACGACGCACGATCACATTCGAGGTCAGTCGCCGAATCATCTTTGTGCAAGTTTCCTCGGTATCACCATACACAATAGTTCCGCCTCGGTGCTGCTTCGTCTTTCCTTTACGCTCTGCTTCGTGCTCGTCAAGCTCTCTGATTGCCTCCTCGGACGTCAACACAACGTTGTTTAGGGAAGTCTTGACGATCCAGTGTTCATGGCTTTCAGGACGCGCGTAAAACTCTGTAATCCCCATCAAAAGCGAGAGTGGCAATGACATGCGCTCATTAGGTCGTAACTTGACTACTTGAGATTCCACTGCCTTTCGGCCTTCACACCCTAAACTCAAATACTTCACTTCGTAACATTCAGAGCTATGGTTGCAGAAGAACGCGTTTGATCGCAGAACGATATGCTGTCGCCTCGGGTTTTCCAATCGTGAAAATAATGTGACGAACAGTGTAGCTTGTAAGGCTTCTGCGGTGCTCACGCCAATATTTACGCTGCCAAAGTGGGGTAGCTTCACCGAGGTGTTGCTCGTGCCCCACTGGTCAAATTCGAATAGGTCCAGTGTTGCTTCTCCATCCTTCAAAACACCATTCTCGGTGTAAGCGCGATCATGCGTTTTGATCGTGATCGTCTCGTTACTGTCGCTCAATTTTAGCACAATCGTACACCCAGTGAAATTTTCAACCAGGCAATCAGTTTCTTTGCATTTCTTTGCAGTCATTGAGTTACGGAAACTGTTCTGGTGCGTTTGTAGACCGTTCTGCTGGACTTCTCCGTCAATGGCATCCATCAGAGCACAATAGGTTCTTAGAACGCTCGGGGTCACGTTAATTTGAAATCATTTTGCAGCCTCCATTAACACTGAAAACCCATTCTCGCCATCGCTAGAAGACAGGCCTACAACCAGCTCCCATGGCTCAATAATGAATTCCATGTCAGCAGCAGCTTCACTACAACATGACGACGACAGCTTGAACCCAAACAGCCCCATCCAGTCGGAATCGCCAGATGTAGCCAAACCGACCCAATCTACGGGACCATTTTCATCGATCTCTTTGCCAGTCAACCTCACTGACAATTTCACATCTTTGATGACGAAATCACCACGACAGAAACGAGTGGGCAACTCTGTGTCCGTTAGAACGAGCCGCAGGTTCCCCATTCGTACGTCCGTCGTAAGCCGCAGCTCCTTCTTCACCGGGTTGGCGCTCTGTGTAAGCTTGCTAATCAAATGTTCTGCTTCATTCATGGCTGCACTAAAAATACCGCGTTTCTTTTTTGCGATAACTTTCGCCGCACTCTGGTACTCTCTGAGACCTCCGCAATGTGTGAATGGTTGCAGTAGCCACTCGCAAAAGGCGTGGTCCGTACAAAGATCTTCCAACACAGGCAAAACCAAAGCATCCCACATGAGATTTGCGGCATCGTAGTTATTCAGCAAACGTACTAACTTCTTTTGCACATCCAGCGGATCCTGATCACACAGGGAGCGTTTCGTAAGGTGAGCTTCACTCTCAAACAGCTCCCAAAACCGTTCGACAAACACAGGACGCTGAATCCACTCTGCGAGTTGTTCAGAACACGCAATCTTCGTCTCGCTCATCTTGTTGATCACTTTGGACGAATCGTACTCGCTTCCGCGCAAATTAAGAAAGCCACTGAGAGCATTGCTGCCATTCCCCGACGGTGCACCCGAAGCTGCTACCGAGTTATCGGACAACAGGTCACCACGCAAGTATGCTCGTAGCTCTTGGAATTCCAGAAACCCGTCGCCGTCCTGATCGATTTCTTTGAAGAGTGCACGAACCAGATACCCTAACTCGCTCTCAAGCAACGTATCACCAATCTTGACGCGGCGCAATAATAGAAGCAGCTCACCTGGCCCAATACGGCCATTCCCGTTTTCGTCAATTTCGTCGAAAAGACGGTGCAAGCGGTCGAGAACCACATCGATTCAGCCTGGCGTCGAATTTCGTTTTGCTTCATACGACTCAGTAGGCGGAGTCGGGCTTGGTCCGGCGTGGTGGTCTATACGTTACCAAGTGCTTCAGCACAAGACGCCAACAGCGACAAACTCAGGTCTGATCCAGAAACTAAGACATCTGGCATATGCACCATAACGCTCTGGTGGCACGTCAAAGAGTCTACGGAGTCTTGTTCTAGCGCGAAGTGCAACGTCACGTTTGTTGGGGCCAGGATTGTTTCCATCTCCTTGGGGTTATGAACGTATTGCGCACCGATACTAAAACTTTGCGCGTTGAACTCCATCGACTCCTTTACCTTAGAGCTTTCGAGACAAATGCTGAATGTCACTGGTATATCCCCGTGACAGTCCACTTCGTAGTCATTTTGCCATGTCTCCACATTCACACCCGTACACAGTGACTTTGAATAAGATGGAGTAGGAAGCAAGAGGATGCGGCAGTCGCTCATGCTGACGTCAAGTTTCAGCAATAACTCACCAAACAAGCTGAACGAAGACATTGGTACCTCCTTCGTCATCGTCTCCATCTCACTTTCGGCAATATCCACCGACACAGGCAATTGCTCAGAGTAAGTAGCCGGTGTTGGAGGTGGACGCGCAGTCGACAGAACTTGCGCAGACTTCGTGCTCAGTCGATACACATACAGCAAAAAGCGTATCAGCGCGCCCACTGCCAGGATCACCTTTACATTGTTCAAGCTAGCACAAACAGCATGTTTTCCATTTTCAAATTGGTTTATATGGGCCATCAGCATCCGTGGCTCCGCTGCCGCGTCAGAATCTGTTGCCACATTGCCAAAGTCCGCAAACAATGGCTTTTCCGTGGGAGCAACAGTTTTGGGAGCCGAAGACTCGACGTTGACCAAAATCGTCGTCTGGCCCACGACCACATCCACGTCCAGTTCTGCTTTTCCTCACCTTCCGCAATTGCATAGGTGTGCACATTGGCGCCAAAGCCGACCACTGCCATCTCTGAGACTTGGTGATCCCTTTCCACAAACCCAATCACGATACTGTCCGAGCGCAACGCGATCTGCAGTACCCTGAAAACGATGTTGCTTGTCTTAGTTGCGTTCTCTAGCACGATTGCCTTGACATCAGCAAGGGTAAGCTCGTCTTGATCACGGCGGTAGTACTTGGCCAATCCAGTCGCCCGACTGCGCAGCTTAAGAATCTTGTTCAGCGACATCGCTATTTCGAGTGTGCGCGATTTTTCAGTAATCTCCGCCTTCTGTTGGCTAGATAGCGACTTGTTACTATCCTCCTTGTCGAAATTGCTCACATTAAATTTCTCGTCCTCCTCAAACATGGGCTTGCGAACACTTTCATCATGTTCCAGCGTTCGCACCGACTGCACTAGCACCTGGTGGTCATTGTATGGAACGACCAGGTCGCGAAGTACTCCCACCACCAACTCACGTGTGATCGAGATGTTGATCGTCGATGAAGATAGTAGCTCCACTTGCGCCCCACGGTTCATCATCGAAATAGGAGCGATGTCCTCCACGATACCTAGTACTCGTGGCATGGGTGGTACATGCAGCTTTACGGCCAAACTTGAAAAGGACAGTAGTGGTTTTTCGCCAGGGCTCTTTTCCCTTTTGCCCTTCAGTAAGTCCACCTTCTTCTCCACTACGACCTCTTCACTTCCGTCTTCACCGTCTACAACAGTAGCACAGATGCTCCCACCTTTCATGCTCATAGCGTGCTCCACCTTGATCTCCTCTGAAGTCAAGATAAGTTGCAACGCCTCGTCTACGTTTTCGTGCAACACATCCGACAACACGTCACACGAGTCCAGAGCAAAGCTCACGCGTGTAGGTTTCAACAGAAGCCCGAAGATCGAGCCATTTGTGGCCTCGTCTGCATCCATGCCATCCTTCTCTTCGTTTACTTCATCATGACCGTCAACGGCAGCAGCTCCAGGAGTCAGTTCCGTGACAGTAACTCGCAACTTGCTGACGTGGATGTCCACCTGTGCCGCAATCTGCTGCAGCACGCGATCTTGAAACTAAAAGCTTGATCTGCCGCTCCAGGAGCGCGCGCTGCTTGCGTCTCCTCTCGCTTCACTCTCAGCTCTGTTTTCTTACGCTCTACATCTAGCAGCGTGATCCAATTCGCCGCTTCAGTTAGCTTCATTGCCACCGCGTCTTGCAGCTCAAACACGCCGTCCACATTAGGGTCCACGATCCGGCCGTCTACACTCACGCCCTCGAGTTTCACCACCATTTTCCACGTCGTGGCTACATGAATCTCAATCTTCTCAATCGCCACGCGCTGGAGCTCAACAGGTGCGAGTCCTTGCTTGACAAACGCCAGTGACTTGAGGAACTCGCTCTGCACCGTGACAAAGAAGAGCGAGATCGTGACGCCACGCACGAGCTCCGAGCTGGCACTGCGGTGCTTGCGCAAGGCACACGAGCCAAAGCAAAACTCAATGCGGACGCTGTCCGTCACATACGCGGCTGCGAACTTGTGCACGAGCGCCAAGAGCAGGGGAAAGACCGTGAGACGTGCTAGCGCGGGCACGACGCAGAGCGACAGGGACACGCCCACCGAGAGCAGCGCCACGGCCAGCATCCCCGGCATAATGGGCTAGCGGCTCAGAAGATACAGCGGCACGATGGCTAATGGGCACAGACGTTCGGGGAAGACGAAAAGCGACCAACACCCCAGTAGTATGAACCGTGGAGGAGTTCGACATGTCGGGAGTGCGACATGTTGAGGAGTGCGACATGTTGAGAATGTTAAGTCGACGAGTTGGTCTCATCCTCTCTGACTCGTCGAACGTATCGACTCGTTGAGGAATTCGGCTCGTCGAGTTCAAATTGTCGAGTTCAAATTGTCGAGTTTAATGTGTCGAGTTCAAATTGTCGAGTTCAATGTGTCGAGTTCAAATTGTCGAAAAGTTTGTCTCGTCGGGCAGTTTGACTCGTCGAGGCGTTCGATTTTTGATCAGTTTGACTTGACGACTTTGACTCGTCGATTTTGACTCACCGTGTAACGGGGTTACACGTCGACTGGTAGTCGACAATAGGTGTGGTGCACACAAGGGATGGGATCCCCTTTTAAAGAGATATTAGAATACAGCATCAATTGTCGAAGACTGATGTCTGTCAACCATTACGAGATCTTTTGGGAGGTTTATTGAGGACATTAGCTGTAACGGGGTTACACGTCGGCTGGTAGCCGACGATAGGTGTGGTGCACACACGAGAGGGGGGTATCCTATAAGGTAATATTAGAACACAGTGAGCGTATCAATTGTTGAAGACTGGTGTCTGTCATCAATTGATTGCAAGATCTTTTAAGAGGTTATTTAGGGCAGGTTAAATACGTTGTTCTAAGGTGTTCTTTTAGGTTAAATGAAGAAATAAAATTCAGTTCCCATTTTGATCAACATAGGACACGTGCCTTACGAGGCGTCTTTGATCGGGAGGACAGAAGCAACGCCTGTAAAGGTAGCTTGTCCTCGAGCACTCTGTGCTGTGATTCTCTTGAATCGTTTGGTCCCTTAGGAACGGGGACCGTAAGCTCTCTGAGCTGTTGACTCTCTGAGTCGGGTTCTTTGAATCGAAGTTGCTCATTGAGCGTACAGTCTTCCTCTGACTTAAGGAGCTGTGTAGCTCCGCTACACTTGGTAGCACTAGTAGTCAATCTACACCTGAGTCGGTAACGACTGATCCTCTGTGAGGACGGAGCAATCCACACCCCTCTCTGAGGCCCAAAAGGTCGCGCTTGATAAGCTGACCGCGGCCGTAGGCCCAGAGTATGTGGAGTTTCTAGCTGCACAGGGTCCCGATGTGCTCAATGCACGAGTCGAGGCCTTTATGCAGTATGAAACCGCCCTGTTAGGGCCAGGTTCAAAACCAAGTAGCGTCGGCTATGCCAACACGCTACGTGGCAATGCCACCAGAAGAGGCTAAGCCTCGTCCACTTCGGGTGGACGTTAAACGTTACTCCAAGAAGGAGGGAGGAAAACTCGACCCTCTGAATCCGTGAGATTGAGATGGCCATGGACTCTGGCCTTATCTCACTGGAGAACCAGCGGGTCTCGCTGGCGATCTCCAATCTCGATGAAAGAGCTAGAGAGTGGGCTCTGACGTGTGGCACATCGTCAACTTGGCATTTTACCACATGGAATTCGCTTAAATTAGACCTTTTGCGATTTTTCTCGCCCCCTAACCAGGCATATCGCGTGCGCTCACGCTTCTTGTCAACCCATCAGGGTAAGAATGAAATAACGAACTATGTCCAAGAGTTAAGAAATCTGATGGCTGATATTCAGTCTGATCCTCTCCCTGTGACAGTCTGTGTGACTGTCGTAATGGAAGGTCTTCGTAATGGCGTTTCCAGGACCAAGAATTGTCGTGTATCGGGGTAGCCCGTTACATGTAATTGTCATTCAAACAATTTAACAATAAAGAATTAAACGTCGAAAATTCTTTTAACAATACCACAGAGTATGATGATATTGTTCAAGATGACCGAAGGGTCTACTCATTGGTTTTTATCGTGATGATATCAACCCACCAATCGCTGCTAGACGCGCGCAATGGGTGGTGAGTAGACATCATCATACGTTTAGTTAGATTAATATAATTAAGTCAGGACAAACAGAGATACAAGAGTTATAGGATATAATTATATTAAATAACAGTTTTACTTATCCTACGACTAGAGTCTTTCACCTTAGTCGTTCTACCTTCCTCTGTGTAGTTCTACACCTAGCTAGGCACTGACTATCACTACAGTCAGTGATAGTAAACTCCGTACTGGTTGACCAGCACGTAGTCGTCGTGCCCCGTTACAATTCGGGTCCATCCCTCTACTTTGGGGAAGCTGTTAGCATCGCTCAGAATGCTGAACACAACTTCAAGTCGGCCAGACTTGGTTGGAATGTGTACAACCCAAGCTTTTCGAGGGCAGCCTCAGCAAATAATTTGGCTGACTGTAAGTCTAAACCGATGAATCTCAGCCATGCTGAAGATGAAGGTGACGCTGAGCTCCATGTTGCATAGCAACGACAGGTAGTGAGACGCTGTTACATGTGCGGAAGCACTAAATACTTGCGTCCCACTTGTCCTTTGCGTTAGCAACAACCGACTCATGTGGGTCAAAACCACATCCCTGATTTGAAACCTGGTATGCCACGGGAAAACGTCGACACCCAGTAGGTGCGGGGCGCCCTACTGGTGTAGACTTGAGCTCTGTCACTTCTCTACGAGGTGGTGTGAAACAGGGCTTAGCCCTGCTGAGCGCTATGCCCGCCAGCACAGAGCGTGGTTACAAGCCAAGCTTGTTCGTCGCCGAGGCGAATGTTAAAGTCCTTGAGAAGCCTTGGTCGATACTAATCGACTCCGGAGCATCATGCAATTATTGTCGATGTCTTTCCTTTGAGGGAAGTCAGCGATATGCTTAAGCTCTCAAAGCGCATGAAGGTGATTCGATCACCGTTCGTCTAGTGACTGGTAGTCGCCTCACGGTGCCTAAAGTTCCGTTGAACTTAGTTGTGAAGTTTTTGGAATTTGACAGCATTGAACGATGACTTGTCCTTTATTTGGATTCGAGATACGATCTCATCCTAGGCATGGCTAAACTTAAACGCCATGAGCCATGGATTGATTGGAAGTCTAAGACTCTTAGGCGCCACGCGCAATGTTCCTAGCGAAGCTTTGGAGAGCCATGAACCCACCTTTGCAAGACAACAAAAGCTCTATTGGCGCGAACCATTGACAGAAGATTTCAATGTGCTGGACATAGGTATGTCAGAGTTAATTAATTCCAATGTCAATGACATCAATATTTATCGGAGCTCTTCTCACGCGTATGTGAGAGCGATATACTCCGTTGAGTGATACTCGTTGTGATACTGAGTCACTGCATGCTTCAGGCCTGGTTGGCCTAAGTCCGAGACATACAGGATAGTGTAATTTCTCTGATGTGAGTCGGGTGACACGTGAAATTCCACCGATTGAGGGCGGCCGAGGTAGTCACCTCACTGAATGTCGGTAATGACATTGATGGCAAGAAGTCAGAGTGTTCAGGGGTAGGCCCGGATACTGTACGTGAAGTGGTCCGTGTAAATCCACTGGGTGAAGTGTTTGAGTTACGTAACACTTCACCAGATGTCGTTCAAGACATGAGGCTCTCGTCTAGAGCGTGCTAAGACAAATAGCAACCACGGGGACCTCGACTGTCGTGGCCTCTAGGAGGCGTACGGTTTCTGTGAGGAAACGATTCGCAGCGTAAGGTGGGAACTGTGAAGCGCTCAACGTCTAAGAAGTCACGAAGTGATAATAGTAATAATACACTATATACACTTGTCAATGGGTTGACTGGCCAGATCGATGGCAATATTAGTCTTGAGATTCTTTCATCCTTGGATACTCTCTGTTGACCTAGACGAAATGTCTGACGGAGAATTTAGCCAAGCCTTATAGGCAGGAGAATTCTCCGAGTTTTTGGTCATTCGGACGTATATTGAGTTAAACTCATCCTCGTTATTGGACGAGTCTTTCATTGAGGACACGAAGGCGGCATTGGATGCCCGTAGTGGATCTTCGATCCTTAAGGATCCTCTTGATGCGTTCTATCCTTTGGTAAAGGAATTTCAGGACGTGGTGTGTCAGGACCCACCGTCCGTCTTACCTCCCGATAGAGGTGTACGTCATGAAATTGACTTGGTTCCTGGAACTAAATACTGCGTAACACGGCAGTGGCCTTTGCCCAAGGAACAGTGTGACGTCATAGACGACTTCTTTCGTGCAAAGCACGAGGCGGGGATGATTCGTGAGAGCAAATCTCCCCATTCCACACCGACCTTCTGTGTCAAAAAGCCCAACGGGAAGTGGCGCATTGTTCATGCTTACAATAAGCTTAATGTGGCCACCATCCCGGCTCAGACACCAATTCCGAGGAAGAAGGTTCTTCAAAACAAAATGGTGGGATGTACAATGTACGGTGCGCTCGACTTAGTCGATGGTTATTACCAGCTGCTCCTGCGAGACAGCGATATCCCGCTGACAGCGGTCAGCACTCCGACCGGTATGCTCTGGGAGTGGCTTGTTATGCCACAAGGGTTATCAAATTGCCTCGGCTACATTCAACCGTCTTGTGACACAACTGTTCAGACCTCACTGAGATTATGCACAGACGTACTTTGATGACATCTTTGTCCATAGTCGTGCTATGAACGGTCGGTCAGATGTGAACAATCACATTGACCATTTACGAGCAGTGCTTGAGTGCATGCGCACGAACAAATTGTACGCCAACGCGTCTAAGTGCATCTTTGGTGCAGAAGAGATTCTTTTTAGGGTGCTTTATTGGTAAGCGAGGCTTTAGAGCGGATCTTGCTAAGGTAAAAGCCATAGTCGATTGGCCGGTTCCTCAGAACCAGAACGACTTACATAAGTGGCTTGGTCTTGCCAATTACTTACACAAGTATAGTGCAAACTATGCGGACATGGCTCGACCATTATCCAATCTCCTTAAAAAGGATGTGGAATGGTGATGGGCTTTCGCCGAGCATGATGCTTTTCAGGCAGTAAAGAAGAGTCTCTTTCATGCGCCAATCTTGGCTTTGC